CCCGATTTCCCCCCCCCCCCCCCCCCCCCCATTGTGCTTCCTCTTCCCTTCTTGTCCATGTATTATCTAAAAACTTTATACACCGACAAGTGAGATGCCCAAAATTTCAATTTGAGAGGCAAAGTATGCTGCCTACATACATGTAGAATGTTTATTTTTACCACACCACTCAACAGTAAAAAACAGTACCACACGAGTTGTGAAATTGTATCATAAATCTTGGACCTAAATAGAGAAGGCCTTCTCTATTTAGGTCCAAGCATAAACAAATCCATTCAGTAGAAGAGCAATAATCAGTAATAATTTGTAACTAGAAAAGCACTCTGAGAGCGCAGACCTCTGCCAAGGCAGCAAAGTCTCTACCCAATGCCGTTTCACCCCTAAATTTTCATTCTATAATGATTTATTTTTTTGATTATTGATCCGGATCACCCCCAAAAACTTATCATCTGTTCCTTGGCCCACTTCCGACAGTTACTGAAAATTTCATCAAAATCGGTCCATAACTTAGTTTTTTTTTTTATTTTTGATAATTGATTAATGATTACACCAAAAATAATCACTTCTTAGTTTACCCATTTCTGACCTACCCTGAAATTTCCATCGAAATTTATCCATAACTTTTTGAGTTATTTTGATGACAGACAGACAGACAGACAAACAAACAGGGGTGAAAACATACCCCCCTTGGCGGAGGTGATAATAATATACTACTGTTGCTGAGGGCATGTAGAAAACAAAGGCTTGTGCAGGGCTTCACACCCATTAAGAATGAAAGAGTTAAAAAAATAATAATTATATGAAAACTCTTTGTCAGCTTTTCCATTATCATTACTGAAAGTTTTCATTATTTACCATCATTGTTTTTCTTTTATTTATACCAGCAAAATATTCAGGAAAGTGACAGTGCCACCAATGGTAATGGACAGAAACAGAAACAGACGACAGAGATCTAAAAACTAAAAATTTTAAATAACACCACTCTTGTCTGTTTGTCTAAGGAAAGCAGGTATCAATGAGTTCTATTAGAAAGCTGTTTCTGTGCTTCATCCTTCTCTGTGTGATGACTGAAATTAGCCATGAAGTTCAGTGCTCCAGTTTTGAGAACAATGCCATAATGGTGCCCGACTACACTTATTCCTGAAGATAATTCTCCTCATTCAAGTCTTTTAAATGACCTTCACCTTCACTGTTGTGGCCCATGTCCGAAATTGCTTGGCGTAGAAACTCTTGTTGGCGCCACAGGTGATAACTCTCCCAAATTTTAGGGAACAGCTGTAATGAAAAAGCAATTATGAGGTGTAGCTAAATAGTAATGGAAAGGGCAACACAAAACATTCTTACAATTAAAAACAGGTGTCAAGTGCCAATCCACTTTTTCATTTTTCAATTATTTCTAAGAAATTACTGGCACCTATTATACCCGGTATTAAACTGGGGTCGAAGCTTAAAATATAGGTGAATTATACTTGTACTCTGCCTCCTAGAGGGGAATGGGTTTCAAATGAAACAAATTATTCCACTGTTTGAAGCACCGGTCACGGGAGAAGTCACTAACAGGTACTTGCAATCCACTGTATGCTACATTCTTGAGAGCAATTATTACCAAAGAAAAAATTCAATCAGGATACATTCTGTACATGTATTAAATGATAATTCTAATACTAGTAAAAAGGTTACTGGTTATGTAGAGCTATAGTGTCTTATTTTCATGTCCATGAGGGCTTTTCTTATGTTGTTAGCACAGCGACACCTGGGTGAGAATTAAAGATGCATTAAGACAGAGACAGACCTGAATTGTTGTTTGGTCTTGGCTTTTACTAACACTACCCGCAGATATTTTACCACTAACGCCCATATTAACCACATAACCCACGAATAACCAACACACCATAAAAGTATTTACCGCTACCAGAGCAATTCCTAGCACTAACATTCATCTGCTTTGGTAATGGTAAATACTTTTACGGTGTGTTGGTTAACTCATGGGATTTGTGGTTAATGTGGGTGTTAGTGCTAAAAGATCTGCTGGTAGTATTGATAAATACCTAATCCATTTACAAGGCCATCTACATAAAATATACATAAATGAAAAAAAAAAAAATCAATAGTGGATGGGTCCTGACCTAATCTTTGGCTTTAAAATAATCTGGTGACATCATTTGTGTCTGAACCAGTCCATGTTTATATCTGCCTGAATGCACCTTTAGATAACTGACATTAGCATTGCTTACCATTACTACTTTGTACCCTAAAATCTCCAGCTGCCTCGTCTCTTGACTAGTTCTGGTACCTGAGAGAACCCTCATGAGGTGGTATTTTTTTGGCAGATTGATAGCAACCCTATTGATAAATAATAGAAGCTGGAATTGAAAATGCTCTCAAACGTGTGGTTAGTACTGTAATTGCACACATCTGCAAAATTTTACCAGACCAATTTCACTTCTACTGGACAATAGTTAAGGTCACAGTAAGTTTAGTGTTTTTACAAGTGTACATAAAACACGGGTTTAGCCAGCAGGCCATCCAGCAAAACCCTAGGTTCTAGATTCCGGTATTGCCAGCTAGATCTTGATGTCATATATATATATATATACATAAACCATATCAGCAACACCAAACTAGTTACTAGCGGCATACTGTGGGCATGTTGGAAGTCGAGTCTCGTGTTTTACAGCTGTATCCACCTGGAGCTCCATATTTGGAAGTCACAAGTCTCGTACGTCATAGCTCTGTCCTGCCTGGAGCTGCCTTTCCCGCTTTGCACTGACGTTATCTCGTGCAGACAAGACAAAAAGCAAAGTGACTGAAGATGAGTTTGAAGTTTGAGCTAGGAATATCTTGCAATCGAAAGTCAGTGCCACAACACAAGCAACTTACTGCTTAAAAAAACTGATTTTTGGTGTAACCATTGCGCAGTCCTTAAAGTGGTCTCAGACATACAATGTAGCTGTCAAACTTGTCACACGGCAAGCATGTGTATTGTGTTTATATCTCCAGGAGAATATGTTTTTGATTAGCAAAGAAAAAAAATCATTGGATATATCTTTTTCTTTTAAAATATATTATTCATTTTTCAATTAACATCTTGAATACAGTAAATAAAATTAAATAAAGCAAATTTAAATGTTTTATGTTTCATTTTGGACTAATGGCATTCAACTGCAGATTCACTGTGGAGCAGTTCTTTTTGATTGACAGATATCGAACATTGTCGCTGTTCCTCAGGGCCAGTAAAGCGATGAATAGTTATCAAGCTAGCTTTAATGTGCCTTGACACTCAGGGTATCCAGCAGTCAACTGGACAGAATCTTCAAGCACAGGAAAGTCTATCAGCTTGTTAAAAATCTTCTGGCTGAAATATCCCCACTCTTCTCCACCCCCACTCTTCTGTTCATGAATCAAATTTAAAGTTTAGCCAGATTTGTACTTAGCACAATTTGTTGGGTAAGCAAGTAGTAAAGAGGGTCAGGGCATTATCTCATGAGGACTGCACTCCAATTGACTGCTATTGGTTCAATTGCACATGGATGAAAAAAGTTATCAAAATGGCAGTGGGAAATTGACACATACTTGACTGATCCAACTGTAAAAGAGTAAATGTGACGGTCACATTCTCTTAAATACTTTTCCCGCATTGTCATTGTAACTAGGAGGGGGGTAGGGGTAAAATGATGGTCCATTTATGGTCTGGCATAGTAGTTAACCTACATTTAGGATGGCCTGTTTCAATATCCTGGAAAGATCACTGATGTAATTTATAAACTCTCGAGAAAGCTTTCTGACAGCAATTACTCATGCAATTCTTATGACATGAATTAATAAAATGAAAGTGAAAAGTGCGAGTTTTGCTTCATTGTGTTGATTCAAACATTTTGAAAAGTGAGTGGACTTATTGCCAGAGAGAGAACATCCTCATATCTAAGAAAGATATCTTCAAAGAGTAAAAATATTAGAAATAGTAAAGCATGTGGAAATTTGAAGTAAAATTATTACTGTACTTTCTGTGTGTATGGCTTGAGTTAAATTCCTCCACTGGGATTGGTCTGTTCTGGCTGTCAAACTGCATTTCAAAATCTGCAACGAAATGAAAGTTTTAAATGCTGACAAATTCATGCTTTTTTATGATTCTACATAAACAAGACTGCTAAATAATACATATTTTAACTTAATCAAATAAGCCATTTTTAAAGGTACACATGAACCCAGCATCAGTGGAGTGTGAATTCCCAGTAACACTTCCACTAGTTTCTTATACAATTGAATTACAGTCAGCATGCCAAGGGATAAACTGAATCTATCAGTCAATCAGCCATAAAAGAGCTTTAGACTACTCCTTTCTTTAAATTTTTCATCAGAAAAAGCTCTGAATTTAAAGGGATAACAACTGTTCGTAAGATATCTATATTTCACAATAAATACATTGTAAAGAACTCATAGAAATACAATTATACTGGAATTTGTGCTTGCCATCACATCACTTGACCTCCATAGATGGCTACACTCTGTAATACTCTCTTAAGAGAATATTACAAAAAGACACAAAAAAAAAAAAAAAAAAAAAAAAANTGCAACGAAATGAAAGTTTTAAATGCTGACAAATTCATGCTTTTTTATGATTCTACATAAACAAGACTGCTAAATAATACATATTTTAACTTAATCAAATAAGCCATTTTTAAAGGTACACATGAACCCAGCATCAGTGGAGTGTGAATTCCCAGTAACACTTCCACTAGTTTCTTATACAATTGAATTACAGTCAGCATGCCAAGGGATAAACTGAATCTATCAGTCAATCAGCCATAAAAGAGCTTTAGACTACTCCTTTCTTTAAATTTTTCATCAGAAAAAGCTCTGAATTTAAAGGGATAACAACTGTTCGTAAGATATCTATATTTCACAATAAATACATTGTAAAGAACTCATAGAAATACAATTATACTGGAATTTGTGCTTGCCATCACATCACTTGACCTCCATAGATGGCTACACTCTGTAATACTCTCTTAAGAGAATATTACAAAAAGACACTTTTTAGAAAAAAAAAACAAAAAAAAAACAGGGAATTACTTTGAATGTGGATTTATTAACCATTGGTGAGTATGGAAAAATTGTCCTTTACCCCAGGAAAATCCATGTTTGGCAAATGAAGAGTTGTTATCCCTTTAATCACTTGCTCTTTTGTGACACATAAAATAGCCCCTTCTGAATAGCTTGTTACTTCAGATTGAAGTTAACTAAACATCTCCTTCCAGAGCAGTACAATGCCATCTGCAATGGTCCAGATTTAATTGCTTCCATCTGGCCAAAAGTTACAGAGTGGCTGGTGGAAAATAGGGGTACCCTCTACCAGGGCGACTGATAGATTTTTACGGATATTCACAGATATGTCTCTAGCTAGATAGATTGTCATTTTAAGCTCAAGTCACCCTGTACAGAAATCTCAAGGTTGATTACATGGCTGGTAATTGTTTGCATAACTGCTCAGGCACTGCCACTTGGCAGGTCCAGTCCAAGTCTGAGTGACAGCAATCAAGACAGTTAATTGCTCTGACCTTAATCACTTGCTCTTCTGACACAGATAAAAATAGCCCCCAGTGAATAGCTTATTACTTCAGCTAACTGTGGAATCCCCTGAAGTAGTTGCAGAGGTATAAATACTGGTGCAGTAGCAGCCTGAAAGCATTGTTACGGTATGGAGCGTGAAGAAGCAGATCGGATAGTAAGCAAATTTTGGAATTTCCAAGGGCTGACAGAATATCAATTTGAAGCGGTGAGTGCTGCAGTCAGAGGGAAGGACGTGTATGTTGGAATAAAATGTACTGGGTGGAAAAAAAATCTCGGAATTTAATAAAAGTACTGGATGGAATAAAAGTACTGCCCTGAAAAAAACCTTCACACCACTCCCCCCCCCCCCAAAAAAAAAAAATAAAAAAAAAAAAAAAAAAAAAAAAAAAAAAAAAAAAAACAATTTATAAGTGTTAAAAAAAAAAATTTCACAAGGAAAAATTAACTCATTTTTAAAATTTTTTTTTTTTAAAAAAAGGAAATCTAATTTTTTTTAAAAAAAAAAAAAAAATTT